TGATGGGGAAGTAAACAGCACCTTCAAAGAGAGGATGTTAGGAATGTTGCCGCAGTGTTTAGCAAAGTGCACTGTAGCCCTGAAATAGCAGTCATGATCTGGTCACATTTGGTTTTCAGGTGCAGATGTGGATTTCGCGTGGACATGTGAGATGCGAGGTGAGGGTAGGCCAGGGGTTGACATGCTGCTCCGGAACCCGAGTGATGTTTTATGTACGGTATAAAACCCAACATTCAGCGCCCACAGCCTGCTCACATCCTGGTTGTTATCCTGCAGCACCTCAGGCCACGAACCTGGTCTCGGAGTCCAAAATTGGCCTGTACTGACTCCAGTGCGCCCTCATATCTGTGAACGTAGAGGTCTCACATGAATTGCCTGGCAGAATGGAAGATGAAATAATGCATCTCAAGATAGTTGCACTGTTGTCTGAGCTAAAGACAGCATGATGAATTTGCTTTTGCTCCTCCTTTTCCTTCTTTTTTTGTACTGGGGATTGATCCCAGGGGTGCTTTACCATTGGGCTACATCCCCAGCACCACCCCCTCTTTATACTAATTTTGAGATAAGGTCTCCATAAGTTACCCAGGCTGTCCTTGAATTTGTGATCCTCCTGCCTCAGCCTCCTGAGTCGCTGCAATTACAGGCGTGCACCCCTGTGCCCTGCCACTTTGCTTTTTCTTGTATCCTTTGTGCACATTTGGAGCAAGTGGGAGAGGTGGATCCCATGTCTACCTGGTGTGTTTTCCCGTGCCACCTCTGCAGAACCCATCTCTGTGGAATCTCAAGCATCCATGCAGACAGAATCTGCTACCTGGACTCTGTGGCCTATAGTCCAGGCCTTCAGGAGTCTGGAGGCTTTGTATGGAGTGGGCCTGACTGTCCCTCAGGGTATCTGGCAGCCTTGTGCTGGGTGGGTCAGCTGAAGGACATGGAAGGGACTCTGAAGAAGCCCCAGGTTCACAGGCTCTGTCCTTCCACTCCCATCTCAGGACTGGATCGCTGAGCTCACACCGGGAGGGTCCCAATTCAGGTATCCATCCATTCAGAGTAGCAGAGAAGAAAAAGGTCACATGGCTCCCAGGACGGCACATCCCCCAGGAAGGGGTGGCAAGAGTGGCACAGGCAGAGATCCCCAGGAGGTGACCTCCCACCCTCCACCACAGATGGCAGGCACATTTTTATGCTGAACCCATGTGTCAGTAGAGTTCCTTGATGGCAGGGGCCGTGTCCAGTTTGTCCAGCTCCTTTCACCCTGAACACTTTGGGATTAGGGATTAGGAACCTGCAGTGTAATTATTTAGCTGCCTCTTGTGCCGATTAGCATTCTATGATCACAACCATAGAGACTGATTCTGAGTAATTTAATCAAAAGGAAATTTATTGGGAAGTCGTTAGGATTCCCAGAGTTAAAAGAAGGCAGAACAGGACGACTAAAGAGGAGATGTGATGCCCTATAGGCGGGTATCTAACTCTGCTGTGCACAGACGCACCTATCCACCCCTGCTTCAGGCCAGGGATGGGAGGTGGAGCTCCACTTCCTGACTGGGTTGAAGTCTCCACCTGAAGCCGGCAGAATCTGGAGACCACGGGCCTATGAGATGCACTGTCTGATGTTAGTGTCTGCAGAGGAGTGGCTCCATTCTTCCATGGAATCCTGGATTAGTCACTCCCAAATTTCCCCCTCCTCCAGGATCTGAGTGTGGCAGGGGTCTCTCCTGTGACTGAGTCCCTTCCTCCTGAGGCTGCCTGAGTGGGAAGTGGGTTACAGAGCTGCTCATGGGGAGCAGTTTGTGGGTGACCAGTGGCTGGTGCCCTGGACCTGCATGCTGCATCCACCTGAGAAGGGCCAAGAAGGTTAGAAGGGGTTAAGTAAATGCACTCTCCCTTCGTGACTCCTGTCGTCCCCTGCACAAGGCCAGGTTATAAAGATGGCAAGACATCCAATAGGAGCGTCCAGGCACCAGGGGATTGTGCCCAGAGCCATGACACAGCATTGGCATGAGCACAAAGACCCAATTTGTGTGGACACCCACTGACAGCATTACCCACCTGGACTGAGGTCAGCAGGACTGCCTGGGTTGCTCCAGTGAGTACACATTACTTTGTGATTAAGAATATGCAGGGGCTGGGGTTGTGGCTCAATGGTAGAGGGCTTGCCTTGCACGTGAGAGAACCTGGGTTCGATCCTCAGCACCACATAAAAATAAACAAAATATATTGTGTCCATATATAACTAAAAAAATATTTTAAAAAAAGAATATGCAGAAAGAGATTAAACATTGCTTCTAACAGTCCCCTTTGCTCCTCCTTCTGGTCACTTGCAGGAGGGGAGAGTGCATGAGAAAGGAGGGGTGAAAGGCAAGGGAGAGGGTGGACTCCCTGCTCCAGATATCTCCTCTTCCTTCCTGACATACCTGAGGGGAACTAGAGCCAAGGCGCTTCTGTTCTCGCACTCTTGGCCTCTTCCAGAGGGCACTGGGCTCCCCGAGGAAGCAGATCTGCAGGAATGGACAGCTGCCAGCTGGTGAATGGATCATCTTAGGCTTGCAGGAAAAGATGTTTTATAAATCAATGGTAGCAGAGAAGAACAGGAAGTGTGGGAACATTGTGGATGGTTTTGGAGGATAAGCGTTTAAGAATGTGTTTGTGTGTGCACTTGTGCATGTATGTGTGCATGCCTGTACGAGGAGGGTGTATTGAACTCGGGCAGCTGGAGGATGGAAACAAGCATTTCTTCATGCAAACAAATCATAGCAAAGGGAGGGGGGGAGAATCTCCTTCTTGGATCTTGGGTGCAGAGGATGGATTTGAACACCCAACACTGTTAGTCCCGCATCCCCGACTGGCTCAATTGTTTGCCCTCCCCTGCCTCATGACTGTTTATATGACCAGGCACTGTTTCTTTGGAGTGTTTACCACAAAAAATTTTATTTAAGTATAAAATATACAATGACATTGTAATAAGTATGTAAATCTTTATAGTGTCTAGCTTGATTTCTTTATTCACGTCTGCCTCGTGTCTCTCTCTCCACAGAGAATATCTGTAACATCCTCATGTTCCTATTGCTCGGGCAATAACCATGTGCCCCACCCTATTAGAGGTAGTGAAATCCCTTGTGTCTGACATCCCGGCAGTCAAGCTATCTCTTTTGCTAGACTGTAAGCTCTGTGGGAGTAGGGTGGGCCTCCTCTGACAACGACCTGTCCAGCACACAGGGTGTGCTGCTGGACGGTTAGTTTGAGATGTGATACATGGTTGTTGTCTGCTCCAGTTGCTGTCCTCAGCCTGGGCCTGGGCATCTCTGGGGCCAGCTTCCTCACTTGTTGCATGCTGGCCCTCTTGGGATCACCCAAGCCAGCAGGACTTGAGGTGTGATCAGCACAGCCCCTCAAACAGATCATAAGTGAAGGGACGTTGTATGGAAATATAGAGGGGCTCTGACATAACTGACGCTACAGGTCATATATGCACATGTGCCCACCACACCCCGTTCAGGGCTCATTCCAATAAAGCCACTCCTAGCTGCAAGTAGCCGACAGTCCCCGGCGATGGCTTAAACATGTTTTTCTTGCACTTGGTGCTCTGCAGGTAGGCAGCTGGAGACACTGGTTTAGCAGCTACACAATGTCCCTCCACGGCCAGTGACTGCCATAGTCAGGTCCTGACCTGGAAGCTCACCCCAACCTTTCACTATCAGGACCATGTTGTGCCACTCCCTGACAAATCCCTGGGCTGTGACTGTCTCAGAGTGGCCACTACCCTCTTGGATCAGACAGAGCCTGTTTCCTTGAGGTCACGGGGCCTTTGACTACCATCGAAAAAAAGTGAGGATTCACTAGTAAGACAACAGACAGCATTTGCCCTGCAAAGGTAGTAGTGGCACACCCAGGTGGTACTGCTTTCGTGTGACCATTACCAAGGAGCACCTGGCATGTGACACACCATCTGTTCATGCAGGCAGGTGGTCAAAAGTCACAGCCAAGTGCAGAGGCACACGTGTATAATTCCAGCAATTTGGGACATGGGAGGCAGAGGCAGGAGGATCAGAAGTTTGAGGCCAGCCCAGCAACTTAGTGAGGCCCTGTCTCACAATAAAAAATAAAAAGCGGGGCTGGGGTTGTGGCTCAGTGGTGGAGTGCTTGCCTAGCATGTGTGAGGCACTGGGTTTGATTCTCAGCACCACATATGAATAAATAAATGAAGGTCCATCAATAACTAATAAAAATTTAAAAAATAATAAATAAAAGGGATGTAGCTCAGTGGTAAAGTGCCCCTGGGTTCAATTTCCAGTATAAAAAAAAGGTACCTTTCCACCGAGAAAGCCAATGGTGAAGGCAGAACATGGATGGATCACCAGCCTGCCAAGACCAAGGAACAAGAGGGTGGAATGGGGCTTTAAGGACAGGGTAGGCCACTGGATGGAGTGTAGATTTTATCCTGAGCATGATGAAACACAACCTGATAGATGATAGTAACAGATCATTTGGTGTGGAAAACAGCTAGTACAAGACGTCAAAGGTGAAGCTGGGACACAGGAAGGAAGCATGCAGGAGGAATGAAGAGCTTGAGAGGTGGATGGGCCCCACAAGGCTGGCTCAGGAGCTGCTGTGTGCTCTCCTAGGAGCTGGCAGGGCCCTAAGCCCTTATCCTCACCTGGAATGTGCACCACCTGACTCCAGCAGGCTTCTAATAAAAATTAGGCACCAGCTTCTGCTTCTCTAAGAACATTTCTTCAGGAGAAAACTTGTCTCTCTCAGGCATTTTGCATCTTGAGGTCTTCTGGTCACTGTGCCCTCAAGCCCTGCCCACCTGTTCCTGCCACCTAAAAGCACTTACTGATCCTGTGAATGGAGGTATCCATGTTTGGGGCTGATGTTTACATGCATGTACTGACATGTGCAGATCACTGGGGGTGGAGAAGCTTCTGGAACAAGGACACCTGGATTCAAATCCCAGCCCCACCTCTTTCTGGCTGAGTGATCTTGCACCAGTCCCTGACTTTCCTGTGCCTCAGTTTCTTTATTAGTAACAGGGGAATATCACCAGAGTTACCACAAGCAGTAGCTGAATTACCATACCTGCAAGTCTTAGTTGGTGTTATTACATTATCAGGCATAAACTCCTCCACATGCCCTCATGGTGATAAACCACCACGTGCCAAGGGCATGGAGGGGGCCCTAGGTTGGCCCTGGGGGTCTTCCCTGTGCACCTGGTCAGTGTCCTCTGGGCTGGAGTTCTGGGCATTGGCAGCAGACTGGGTAGGGAGTACATCTGGGCTTGCAGCAGATTTGCAGGGAAGGGTCCTGACCCCGGGCCATCTGACTAGGGCCAAACTTCATGGCTGCATCAAACTGGGCCTTGAGCAGCTGAAGCTGCTTCACTGCCCGCAGCACCTCTGGGGTGACTTCAGTAGTACCCTCCAGAAGGTTGTAGTTCTCACCAGGGTCCTTAGACAGGTCATAGAGCAGTGGGGGCTCGTGAGCAGTCAGCGGGCTGGTGGCATGGCAGGCAGGGTCCACAGTGGTGTCACTATGGGCAGAACCTGGGGAGGTGGTCAGCTCTATGCACAGGGCAAGAGCAAGAGGAGAGGCCAGGGCTCTAGGACACTGGGTCAACAGGGCCAGGAGAGGGAGCCAGGAAGATGGAGTTACCTTGGGTGTAGAAGTGAGCTTTGTATTTCCCACTTCGCACAGCAAAGACCCCATGGATCTCGTCTGGGTAGGCAGGATAGAAGAAGTGAGACTTCCGAGGGCTCTGGGGGCACAATCAGGGTTGCCAGGTAGGAGGGTCCCTAAGAGCTGTCAGCCCCTGTGGTAGGCCCTGGCTGTACAGTCCCTTCTGGCCCACCTAGGAACCTGAAAGGTGGTACTACTCGGATGCCACTCATCAAGAGACCTGGGACAGACTCCAAGGGAGAACAAACCCATGGGACCAAGGGCTCACTAACCCTACCTTGCCTGTGCCCAGCAGCACAGGGCTGAGGTCAAAGCCATCCAAAGTGACGTTGGGCAGTGAGGTCCCACTCAGGGCTGCCAGGGTGGGCATCAGGTCCAGAGAGCTGGCCAGCTCATGGGTCACACCTGGGGCAGAGGGCTATTCAGTTATTCAGTTAGCCATCAAGGTTGGGGAAATGAGGCCAAGGAGAGGGCCTGAGGACTGACCAGGAGCGATGTGGCCCGGCCAGAAGGCCAAAGCAGGCTCTCGGACACCACCCTCGAAGGTTGTCCCCTTTCCACATCTCAGGAGACCAGAGCAGCCACCACGGGACATGCGCATCGTCTCAGGTCTGGGACACACAAGGTTATCAGCAACAAGCAGTCCATGGCTTTTGACCCACTTCTGGTGACCACCAGCCCCACACTTTTCATTTATACATCCTGCCCCAAACTGGCCACTACATTCCTGTCCCCACCCTGGCCTACCAAGATCAGCATCCCTATGCATCTGTGGCACCCAGCCTAAAACCCGGGAGTTACTGTAACATGGCCACCATCTCCTGACACCCCTTTATCCCATGATGTCTTCAGCCAGCAAGGTGGAAGGATCCTCAGGACCCTGGTGTATGACTGAGCAACGAATGTTCCCTGCCCTGACTGGCATACCCATTGTCTGCAGTAAAGATGACCAGCGTCTCTCCGAGCAGCCCAAGGTCCCCCACGGCTGTCATTATGGCCCCCACAGCGGCATCCAGCTCCATCAGGGAGTCCCCAAATGGCCCGCGACCCGAGCGCCCTGTAAAGTTCTTCCCACTGAACTGAGGATAGTGGGTGTGCTGGGGGTGAAGACTGGAGTCAGCATTTGATAGGGGTCACTGTCAGCTGGGAGGGGAGGGCCACGGTCACTCACATGGGAGGCATAGTAGAGGAAGAATGGACGATCTTGGCGCTGGGCGTCGGACATGAGGTCTCGGGCAAAAGCCACATAGCGGGCTTCTAATCCAGGCAGCCAGGGGGGCTGTGCTTCCACAGACAGATTGGCCAGCAGTGGGATAGGAACTATGCCCTGGTTACAGCCGCCGTGACATGGGGTGGCTGGTGGGAAGCAGGTCATGTTCTGGCAGGGGCCCTGGGGACATATCTCCAGTCAGGGGTCTGGGATGTGGGGTGGGACTGAGAGAAGGTCAAGTGTTTGAGGATGAGGGCAAGTTGGGGGGGTGGCTGAGGGCCCCGGGGTTTGTACCTGGTCATGGGAGTACGGGATGCCCAGGAATCGATGGAAGCCCTGATTAGTAGGCAGGAAGGCCCCTTGTGGTCCCACCCCAAGGTGCCACTTGCCGGCCATCCCTGTAAGGTAGCCACTGGAGGCCAGGACCTCAGCCAGGGTCACCTCTTCCAGGGGCAGGCCTCCCCGGGAGCTGGGTTCCAGGACTCCAGGGTACATGCCCATCCGGACGGGATGCCGGCCAGTGAGGAGGGCAGCCCTGTAGGACAGGTCACAGAGTCCATGCATCCAATAGAGATGAACAGAGGTGGGAGCAGAGAAAGAGAAGGGAAAAACACGGATTTCCCCTCTGCAATCCAAGTGAATCCAGGAGAGCAGGGTGGGGTGGGGGCCCTCACTCACCTAGAGGGTGTGCACAAAGACACGGGCACGTAGAAGTCTGTGAACCGCAGCCCCCCTGCAGCCAGCTGATCCAGGTTGGGGGTGGTGGAACTGGGGTGCCCATAGGCGCCCAGGTCCCCATAGCCCAGATCATCAGCAAAGATGAGCACAATGTTAGGTTGGCTGTCGGCGGCCAGGCCTGCGGCCAAGGCCACGCAGAGGGTCCACACCGTTTCCATAGCACAGGTGCCGCTAGGCCTGCGTTCAGAGAGCCTTGGGGACCAAGGCACACTGGTCCCTGCGGGTTCTTCTCAGGGACCCCAGGCCCAGAACTGCCGCCGCCCTCAGGGACCCCGACCCACTTCCCGACTGCAGCGAACCTGACAGAACCCAGGAGACCCGGCCTGCTGGGCCAACCCACAGCGACCCTGGGGGCAGGACCCCTTCGCACTGACGCTCGGGTACCAGGCCCTGTTCGCCCAGAAGCCCCGGCCCAGGCTCGAGTCGCGGCAGGAGTCACAGGACGCTGCGGACCGCGGCCTCAGACGCTGCCAGGCGAAGGCGGTTCCGAGCCCAGGAAGGGAGGGGCGGAGCCTTCGCGAGCGCTTCCGCCTCAGGCCCCCAGGTGGTCCCGTGACCCTCGGCCACGCGAGACCGGCCGGTGGGCGGAGCCGGGTGCTGGTGGGCGGAGCCTGGAGGTGGGTGGAACGAAGACCAGCCTCCCGGTGCGGAGCGGTGGCGGGGACCGACCGAGGGCAGAGCTGGTTGGGGACTGGGGGAGGGGCGGGGCCCGGGCGGGGAGCCGCCCACGACAGAGGGGGGGGGGAATCCTGGGGGAAAGGGGCGGGGCCGGGGGGGGGCGGTGCCGAGTGCAGCGCCAGGTGGGCGGGGCCTGGGCGGGACCCGGGTGGGGAGGGCGAGTGTCCCGCCAGGAGGGCGGGGCGGGAGTGGTGAGGAAGGGTCGGGCTCGCGGCCGGTGCTCCCGCGGGCTTGGCGGGCGGGGCGTGGGCGCGCTCCCGGGTCCAGCCCCGGTGCTGGTGCAGGCCGGGGCTGCCCCGACCGGGGTCTCTCCCGGAAGTCGGGGCGCGCCGTGCTGCAGCGGGGGTGGCAAGACCCTGGGGTCTGCCCTCAGCGCTGGGGCGCCTCTGCAACCTGAGCCTGTTCTCTGGGGGCCCTGCTGCTCCCACCTGCGCGCGCACCTGGCGTGGTGTTCCAGGTGTGCAGGTGGTACCGAGGTACGCGTGTTCAAGGGTGTGGTCTGAGGTGGGTGGTGCTCAAGGTGAAACGCGTGGCTGTAGTTGTCGATGGACACAATACGATGTGGGTTATGGGTTCCTTTAGGGCGCCCCGGGGGAACCCCGGGCCTCCCACGCGCTGGGGGAGCGCTGCACCCTGAGCCCAGCCGCAGCCCGGGTCTGGTTCTTGAGGTGGGTGTGTGGTGTTCTAGGTATGCGGGTGCTTGAGTCGTTTCGTCTCAGGAGTGTGTGTGATGGAGGTGTGTTTGTGGGTCGTGAGGAGGGTGTTGTGTTCGAGGTGTGTATAGTGTGTGTGGTGCTTGGGGTGTGCATGGTGCTCGAGGTATCTGGTGCTGTGTGTTGGTGGTGCATGAGGTGTGTGTGGTGTGCGAGGTGTGTGGTGTTCAGGGTGTGTGTGGTGATTCAGGTGTTCTTTAGGTGCGTGTGTGGTGTTGGAGGTGTATGAGAGATGTTTGAAGCCGTATTGCTTGAGGGTGGTTGTTTTGCTCGAGGGCTTGTATGTGTGGTGTTTGAGGTGTGTGTCTGGTGTTCCAGGTGTCTGTGTG